ATCCATTCTCAAATAATCTCTTGCTAGTAAGGACGTGGTACGTGTCCTCTAACCGGCAGTTTCGCCGCCAAATGGCACTGCAGGTAAACGGTTATGACCCGGGGCCCTCTGAACCGAGTGGTTTTGCCGCCAAATGGCACCACAATATATCGGTTATGGCCAGAGCCAATACGCTCCTTATTGGCATCAAATTCTTGAGATATGAATCAATAGGATATGATCGATAGGGCACAAAGCCCTCTGTCAGCTAAGGTGGATTCAAATTTGTCCCCTTAGACAAACATCCAACCCAGGTCTACAAGGTATCCTTGGACGAAGCAACCCATGGCTGCTGACAAGGATCCTTCTGTCAGGTTGGGTCGACTACCTCCTCTGACTAAGTAGACCAGGGACCACGATGGCCCGGGATGACGGAACCATGGGATCTTGATCGGGCCCATCATCCATTCCCCCACCATCCGCTTTAAGTGCAAGATGGTGAAATTTCTATTTTAAATATTAAATCTTTTCAAATATCCAAATATCCAAATTCACGAATCAAAATTCATTGCTGCTACTATATGCTAGATAATACGTATTCTATACGTATCTGATTGATGACTAGCCTTAATCGAAAGTTCTCTCTCGTTATCGGGAGGGGTAATTAACTATAGGGGCTTGCGCCTATAGGAAACCAGAACTCAGATCATAAAGTCCTCGCAACATGAGGGCGAAATCTCTGGGTAGTGTCTTATCTACAAACCCATTTGCCTTCCAAAATTTACCTCGGAACTTAGTTCGTTAAAACTCCCTTGCCGAATAAGAAAAGCGAGTGGAGGCCGAGGCCGAATTTTCGGAGCCCACATAGAAGTGGCCGGGGTTTTAATTGGAGGTTAGAAGTTAGGTAATTTTTTTTACCTAAAATTTCCCCATAAAGTCGGGCTTACGACTTTCCTACGAAAGTTGCCGGATAGCGGGTCTTACAACCAAGTCCTTATAAACAAGGCTGCCCAAAGGTTTGAATTTGATTGTTTGAGTAGATAATAGTTGTTTGATACTAGATAACTGTGGTTATTTTTTTTTTAGTTGTTCTATGCTTGTAAGCTTTTTCCTACCACGGTAGTTCACTTCTTTACCTGTCTTTTCAGCACTGTTACACTACTGGGTTTTTTTTTTTACTCAGCTTTTCTTGCTTTTCAGTACTCTGTTCTACTGCAGTTGCTTAGATTTTTTTTTGGCATTCATTTAATTCATTTATGATGTACTGACTTTCCACTTGTTTGTTTGCAGGTGTTCGTAGCCAGTAGTTGCAGCTGTCAGGACTCATAGTTGCAGAGGATATAGCCCAAAGATAGTTGCAAGAACTCGTACAAGAAGGGCTTTGGAGAACTTGTAGAAGAGTTTAATTTGAGTGTGTATAGAGTTTCAATTTGTGTTGTTATATTAGAAAGTCATGTATAACCTATTGAAGCTAAGTTAGTGGTCTTAAGTGATTAAGGCATGCAACAAAGAGTAGAAGATGTGTCAATAAGTTGAGCAGATGGAATGAATGTGGAAGAATTAGGAAGGAAAAAAATATAACAGCAAAGATAACAAGTAACAAGGCTAGAAATTGCGCAAGAAAATAATTGGGGAGAATATAGCTAGAAATGTCATGTAACAACAAACAGAAAATAATGTAGGATGATACAGAAAGCCAGGCCAAAAAATTAGGGATGAAACAAAGAATGAAGATGATAAACAAGACAATAATGAAAAGATTAATAAAACCCATTATAGCATAGAATATAAAATCAAAACCTTGAGATAATTACCTTGAATAATGCGATAACAATTGAAAAGAAGGTCATAAATGCAGTTGCAAAAATCAATGGCTTCGAGAAGCTAGCTGGTCTTCTAAATACAAAGGTCTGTCAAAATTTAGAAACAGTAACATCAAGCATGAATTAGGAGGGAGAAGGTGCTTGAAATTTTGCCAGCTGAAATATACAAAAAGATACTCAGATGCATCAGTGCATAGTTGGAAAATGAACCATTTGGAATGCATTTAACAGAATTTAAAATATTAGAATGGTGGATAATAACCTGAATGTGAAGAAAAAATGCTAGTTGAACAATCACGGCACGGACAGCAAGGATGCACATGGCAGCAAGTACAGCAAATCTTTTCCATCTAAAAAATGGTAGCTGCAAAATACGAGGATCAAGTACCGTTATGCATAGATATATTTTATTCTCTGTTTTTTACATTGCATGCATGAAAGTAGACAAAAGTTCTATACATTTCAACAGGAAATATTATTTCCATAACACTAGGAATTTATTCTGCCCCATTTTTTATTCGGCATCAAAACTAGTTTAGTACAGCTGGCAAATACGCCTTTTCTGGACGGTATGTACCATCATAAGTAGTTGACAGTGGAAGGAATTAACTTCTCAAATTTAAAAAGCATATTTTGCATGGAATAGTTGGAAGAATCATGAAAATTAACTTCAAAAAAGGTGGTAAGTGAGCTTGTCTCTCATACGGTTCATTACTTCCAAGAACAATGTTAATCGAAGTAATAACATTATAATTATGCAAAAAAAATCTTACAATTTGGCCCGTACTGTTAACAAGACTTCGTCACTATGAGGAGGCATAAATTCGAATTTCATATAGCTTAATCAAAGAATATTTTTTTTATTGAAATAAATAATATGTACAAATTTTAAATATATCAAAATAAGGTGTGCAAGGAAATATGCATGTATGTAATTTAATTCTTATTTATATAATAAATTAAATTTTAACATTGCCGTTGCCATATCCCAAGTCCTGGATGAGAAAAGTGGAGGGTTGCATTAGGTAGTCGACAGCCAGCTTAAACCTTGTCGAATAATCATGACATGAATCCTTTAAAAAAGTGTGTTAATACTAGGGCGTCCCCTGAAAGCGACGCACTGTATGGCCTGAATACAATGACAAGTGTGCAAGAGCCGCTGCACTGACGCCCGGGTTCAGTATTAAATAGGCAAGGGTTCCCACATCAAGGACGGATGTGGGCAAAGAAGCTAGTCCATGAAACTAAAATTAGGATAAAAACTTGGAATATAGGCTCCCTTACAGAAAAATTAATAAAATTAATAGATATTATGATTTATAGGAAGATAAATATTATGTGCATTCAAGAAACTAAATGGGTTGGAGAGAAAGCTAAGGAGATTAATAGTTTAGGATATAAACTATGATATTCAAGTAGGAGTCGTACTAGAAATGATGTTGGTGTGATTATAGATAAGAGTTTCAAAGATAATGTTATAGAAACTAACAGAATTTGAGATGAATTATAGCTTTAAAGATTGTTAATATTATAAGTACTTATGCTTCTCAAGTAGGCTTGGATATGAGTTCAAATATTAAATTTTGGAATAACTTAGCATAATTAATATAAAATATACCTCTTGAAGAAATATTTTTTATTGGAGAATATTTAAATTGACATATTGGTAGAGAGGTAGATGATTTTAAAAGCATCTATGGTGGCCATGGGTTTGGAACGACAAATGAAGGTGGTAATACTATATTAGATTTTTCTTTATCTTATGATTTCTTAATAGCTAATACCTTATTTAAGAAAATAGATAAGCATCTTATCACTTATAAAAATGGATATAATAAAATGCAGATTGAATATTTTCTTATAAAAAAATTATATCGTTTAGATTGCAAATATTGTAAAGTTATTCCAAGTGAAAATTTATGTACTCAACATCGATTATTAGTTTTAGACTTTAAGATAAAGGAGCAAAAAATAAAAATTAAAGTAAAACGATTTTCTAGGATTATATAGGGGCATTTAAAGAATATTAACAAAAGTATTTTTGGGAGTATGATTTTAGATATAAGATTTTTTGTGCATGAGGATGTCAATATTATGGGGGAAAACGTGACCTGTGATAATAAGAATATTGCAAAAGATGTGCTTGAAGTTTCGAAGGAAAAAGTTCATAATAAAAATAGTTCGTGATGGAATCCAATTGTGCAAGAAAAGATAAAAAATAAGAAGATTTGTTATAAAAATTGTATTAGATATAAAAATTCTGATAATTGGAAAAGCTATAAAGAGGCTCGTAAGGAATCTAAGAAAGCTATTCGTGATGCAAAGAGCTTAGCTTTTAATGATTTATATAATAGATTAGATACTAAGAAGAAAGAAAGATATATGTATAAGTTAGTCAAACAAATAGATAAGAGTAGTAAGGATTTAGTTCAAGTGAAGTGTATTAAGGATGAAGATCAAAAAGTATTTTTCTTAGAAGATGATATTTAACAAAGGTGGATGAGGTATTTTGCTAAATTTTTTAATGAATAATGTGAAAATACGATTGATTTTAGTGACTTTATCATCCTAAATGAAAATAAAATTTTTTATTTTTATCGGCGTATAAATAAAACCGAGAGTTAGAGAGGCTTTAAAGAAAATAAAGTGTGAAAAAGCTGTTGGACCTTATGATATTCCATTAGAGATGTGGAAATGCTTAGGAGATGAAGGAATTTCTTGGCTTATTAAACTTTTTAATACTGTTTTGAAGACTAAAAATATGTCAGATCAGTGGAGAATGAGTGTGTTAATTCCTATTTTTAAGAATAAAGGTGATGCACAAGAGTGTGCGAATTATAGAGGAATTAAGTTGATGTGTCATACTTTAAAACTATGCGAGCGAGTTATGAAGCGTAGGTTGCGGCATGATACTTATGTTTCTCAAAATCAATTTGGATTCATGCCAGGTAGGTCAACTATGAAAGTCATACATTTATTGAGAGGTTTGTTGGAGAAATATAGACAGAATAAGGAGGATCTATATATGATATTTATTGATTTAGAGAAAGCATATGATAAAGTTTCACGAGAAGTGCTATGGAGAGTTCTTGAAAAGAAAGGAGTTAATAATGCTTACATTCAAATCATTAAAGATATGTATGCAGGAGTTATTACTTATGTTCAAACACAAGGTGATTTGACCAAGTATTTTCCTATTTCGATTGGATTACATAAAGGATCAGCCTTAAGTCCATATCTTTTTGCTTTAGTCATGGATGTTCTCACTAGACATTTGCAAGAGGATGTACCTTGGTGTATGCTTTTTGTTGTTGATAAGACTAGAGAGGGAGTTGAAGGTAAACTTGAATTATGGAGGTCAACTTTAGAATCTAAAGGTTTTCGCTTGAGTAGATCTAAAACTGAATATATGTAGTGCAATTTTAGTAGCAATAGACCTAGTGAGGGGATTGTGACTTTGGGCGATCAAGTCATTAATAGGAGTACACGTTTTAGATATCTGGATCTATTGTTCACTTGTTCAGAGTGATGGTGAAATTGATAGAGCATAATTCAAGTTGGATGGTTGAAGTGGAGGAATGCATCGGGCTTATTGTGCGATAGAAAAGTCACCCTCAAACTTAAGGAAAAATTCCATAAGATGGTGGTGAGACCTGCAATGTTTTATGGTGTCGATTAAACTAATGGTGTTTTCTTGGCACACTAAAGAAGAAGAATTTTCTTTTAAACTTATGTTCTCTACTTGTCATGCTAGGCATGCCATGAGCATGAGACTAGCATGACAAGTGATGTGTATTAAAAGGTTCTTATCCTAATTACTTATACTGGCGAAAACCTAATATGATGTTTTAATGAAATGAAATATCATGGTTTAGAAAAAATTTCCTGGGCAAAAAGGAATAAGACATTCTACAATTAATTGGGATTGTGATCAGTCATCTCAAACAAAACAACAGAATAATTTCTCAATAAACACATGTATTTAAATTTTGGCAATAGCCTAGCATGTGATTAACAAAAGGCTTCAGTTATTTATAAGGAAAAAATAATGTCTCCATCATTCCAAGCTCCATATTAATTGACCAAAAAAGAAAAAGAATATAAAAGGGTGCACCCAACATGCTCATGATTTGAACTGAGGGAGTCACACATACATACACCTAACACATTTCCCTGACGCTAAAGATAAAACGGGATATTTCATGGCATTTCTTATTGGCTCTCTTGTATTTTCACCAAATTGTTTAATGTTCGTCATCTCATACCCATATAATCTTATTTTAATATAACAGAACAGGTTGGCTAAGATTCAGCTTAACCTGATGGTTAGCATAGCCAGAAAATATTTTGGGCTATTTCCAAAATGTTAGAACAAACCACGCAGGATCTGTGTCAAAATCCCATCTCACAATTCAGCTTGATAAATGACAAGAGTATATAAATACAATAAAAGAACATTGAGACGTTTAAATAAGTTAACCAATGTCATGTCCACAAATTACTTGTGCAAAAGAATATGAACTTACATTGATAGAATATGCTGTTCCAAGAATGAAACTGACGAAAAGGGCCCAAAGTAATGGCCAAGATCCAACAACCCATCCAATGCCAAAACTCTGAAACATAAAAACCAAATATGAGCATAACTTGCAGTCCTTTCAATGTAACATATTCTGACATATAGTTAATAAAATATCATTGCAACCCTCTATAGCATAGGCATGAGTTTGTATGATGAATGTTCCAGAAAGCATGTTCACAATCGGGTATTTGATCTAGCCTTCGCAATTGTCATAGTAAGCAATACATAGTAGATGATCAAAGTTATTAAAGAAAAGTTTCAATGACCTAAAAGAAACAAAGTAAAAGAGAAACTATTGTTCAATTCAATACAGGTGACCTTAGCGAAAGGACAACTAAAATAATTATATCTTCGATCAAATATCCGTACACTAAAATGAATTAGGCGATTTCATTCACATCCTATAAAAAAGCATGCATAAAAATAACGTCTTCTTATAGCATTGAACTTCGAACCTTAAATGCTTTTAGTCAAATAAAAAGAACATTAAGTAATGCTCATGTATAAAAAACATTTAGCTTCATTAAAATCGTCATACACAGTATTAGATGCAACAAATTCGGATTAAATATGTTTAATACTTTTTTGCCCTTCGGCAACGTAGTGCTTCTATTTTTCTAATCAGTCTTCGTTTTTCCAATTAAATATTATTTGGTCTTTGAAATTAGTTACTGGGAAGTTACTGGGAAATTTCTTCAAGATCCCAAAAAGGACCAATATTGTTCTTTTACCTAAACACCCTTTCTAAGACAGAGAAGGTGAGCGGGGGAGTATGTGACTTGGTATATTAAGCACGAGAAGGATATAAAATGGAGTTTAGCTCTAAAATGTATAAATTTGTCTTCTAAAAATTAAATTCAAAAATACAGATTTTACAAACATGCCATAGTTCAATTATATGGCAATAAAAGTACAAGGAAAAGGAATAGATAAAAATCATAGCGTGCCTCTAGTCAATCAAACTTGCCATAGTTCAAGCATTTATAGATTTTACACTTTAGAGGCTAGAAAGGTAAAAGGAAGAGATCAAAATCAAAAGAAGACAATCTTTTGCCTGGGATACATCAATGAAAACATTTGACGAGCACAAATAGAAACAAGGAAAAAGTCTTTCATTGTTGTAGCAAGCAAACTCAACCAATTAGAGCCCTCTAAGCAACTCAACAATAAATAGTTCCCATTATATGTTTAAAAATAAGTAAATAAAAAAAATTACAAGCAAATATGACAATATTAAAATAATAAACTAGATTTTAAAAATGCACCTTGATAAAGAGAAAAAAAAAGATTTAAGAGGAAATGCAAGAAAGAGACATAGAGTAAGGCGAAGGAAGCATGCCTCACATCTTATCATAGGTTGGGACAGATATAAGACTTAAGAGGTTCGGTGAAGGGAAGAGAAGTGGAGATGGTGGGTGTCCAACTACTATTTCGTCCTTATAGAAGTTTAAGGGAGGGGGGAGACGAATAGGGGTTGGGAAGGGAGAAGAATGTGAAGCCGTGGTGGCTGATAAGAACCGCTTGGTATTTATAGGATTTTAAAGTGGTGATGGCCACGACCTCATGATGGAGAGAGACCCAAATGCTCACAAAGCAGCAATAAAATACTTAAAAATCATATTAATCTTTACATAGATCCTACATGCAATAGGTATTTTATTTTTTTTAGCATTAAACTCAATACAATGCTAATATCAAGACCCCAACTACATGTTTCCCTAAAATAAAAGGGAAAAAAATGACAATCAAAGAGACTGAGTTATCTATAACAAAAGTATCACTCCCTCACGAACTTTGTCCCATTTGTCATTCTCGTTCATTGTTACCTGCATCATTGCCTGCAACACCCTATGCGGACTCCCGCCTATCCATGCAAAGGCCTACCCGTTGTTGCCCATTGCCCCTTTCACTCTCAGCCTTTTTATAGTCGAGTCTTCATTCATGCCAATATGTCGCTTCTCCAATATGATCATCACACTTGATTTTCTCTCTTGACTTTCTCTCCCTCAATGGCACAAATTCTAGACACCCCATAGGACCATTGGTCCACATTTCTGCTTTTGAATTCTTATAGCAATCCATCTCCTTTCTCATTGATGTCTTCAATGGCGACCCATCTCAACCCACTTTTTATACTTCAACTTCCATTTCGTTTCCTAGGGCTTCCCTTAGCTCTTCGTCCCTTTGTCAGTGCATTGTGGCTCCATCCTTATGACCATATCTCATGCTTCATCTTCACCATTACCTCTCTATTAGTCGTTTATTGATGGTATTGCAGATATCGATGGTCCATCAACTACTTTATCAGCTTTAATTGGGATGTTGATGCTCAGCCTTCCAAACCTATTACTCCAACTCATTCTTTTGATAATGTTATCAGGCATAAGGCTTCTTTGTAGCTGAATCTTTCTGACAATTTCCTCTCATTCTTTTACCATGACTTGAATTCTATAAAGCACACCTGCTCTCATTTTTTTTAGGATGAGATTGTTGATTTAACTGTACCATATCTTTTTTTTTTTTAATTTTTTTTTAACTGTACCATTTCTTACACTTCGGTTGAGTAAATTTTCATTGTCACCTAAGTTCGAAGATTATTTATATCTTCATGTTTGATTTAAGTTAGATAACTAATTTTTCCATTGTACTTTTTGATTGTAATTTCGTGCTTATCATGCTATCTTTAAAAGCAAACTTTTCAAGAATTTTCTTCCGTTGTTCATACTATAAGAATGGTCTCCTGATACATATTTTAAAGTGATTCCACAGTTTGAAACTTCTAAATAGCCTCCTTTTACCCCAGTACGGGTTGTTTCCCTTCATATTTGGGTCCAAAATATCATTCAATATAAATTATACTCCTTGGATTCAATCATTGGCAAACCAATATAAGTGAATGTTGCTAACACAAGGCCCCCCCCCATCTATCTATAAATTATGTTCTTGTTGAAATAAGCACTTCTACTCTTTTGGATAGGGAGATATGGATTGAAACTTCTTCACATGGTTATTAGCAAAAAAGTAAAATTTGAGGGTTTGCCATCATATTGTCAATCTTGCAAAATATTCAGGCATAATTACGCTTATTGCCTCAAGGCTCGCACAAAATTAAGAAATTCCTTCTCAAAGGGCCCTATTATCCAAGATAGCTACATTGATCATGATATAGACATACTAGGAGGTGTAGTATATATTAATAGTCAAATTAAACCTGTCAACTTGTTAAAGATCTTCCATCAGCCTTTCCCCAAGAATATTCTCATGAGTTGGAAACCATTCAAGATTCCTCTTTTGTGATGGTGCCTTTCCTAACTATTGTTGGTTTGTTGGATTTTAGTATCACCCCTATTCTCCATCTCTAGTATCATTAAATATTGTTGTCAAGCATACTTGATACTTCTACCTTGTTTAGGAGAGCTATATGTCAGCTTTTTGAGGATACCTCAGTTACTCCTACTCTCATTTTTCCATGCAACGTTATAATTGTGTTCCCCTATGCTACTCATGATTATTCAGCTGTAGATGTTGTTGATTATTCAATCTTTTTTCATTCTCAAGGCTACATCAAAAGTTTGTCTGATTTAGTAGATAAAATATTTCAACTTATGCTTTTCGGAATTTTATTGCATTCTTTCGAATTTACTAAGATTTCAAGATGGATGCAATAAATATTCTGATGACTTTGGAATTCTTAACTTTGCAGGTGTTTGAATGTGGGCCTCCTTCTCTCTCCTTGGATAGATATTACAAGCTCAACTTTCAAATTATCTTGGTCCAATGTATTTTATTGCTTTGATTTTTTTACAGGCAATTTTTTGGTAACCACTAATTATGTAAGCATTTCTACGACAACTGATACAATTTTGTCGAATAAAAAAAAAAGGTAAAATTGGTGAGTTTGTAGAAAATGAGGAATAAATTACAATAAGGCAAGAAAATAAAAGGGGAAGATATTTGGCCCATTAAACTTCTACATAAAAATCACAAGAAACTCCCAAATTACAACATACTAATATTAAAAATAAATAAAGTTGCAATAATTCGAACACTGAAGAAAACAATATTGAATGCAATGAAGCAAGCAATACATAAAACATTCAAAATATGCTATTGCATAACTTAAAATATAGTTTAGGAATCATAAAAATTGTATATATTGATAAAAGGATGCACAAGAAGCATCAATGGACAACACTATGCTAAAACTATAACAACAACAAGCATTTATCCCACTCTGTGCGTTCGACTACATGAATCCTTATTCTCCATTATGTCCTATTAAGAGTCAAAGTCTCATTTAAATATAATAAAAATTATTATTTTTAATATTTTATAATCAAGACTTTTTGGTCTGCCTCTATCTTTCTTAACATAGGCTAATCATAATACATATAATCTCCAAACAGAATTATCGGAAGGCCGACAAAACAACACTTTACTAATGCCAAAAAGTATAGGCCAAGCTCAAATAGTACTTTTAAATCATTTCCACAAAAACTTGTTAAAAACATAGATATTTTAGTCAACAAATTCATAAAAAAGGATTAGGATACTCATCATTAAACTTGTAATTTTAACTTCTCAGAACAAGATTAACTATTAAGAGAAGAGACCTTGCTTTGAATAAAGCTTTATTTACACGTCTACAAAAAAGGCCATTTAAAAGTGGTTTGCAAAGCCATAACAAACAAATCTAATATCTATTGGCATCATGAGCATCAAAGCACGGCATTTCGGCACACAGAGGAGACTAAATCATAACAGACATGCTTCATTAGATATTTTCTCCGGTTGCACCCCTAAAGCCAAAAAATTCTTTCACAATCAAGAAAGCATTCGTGAAATATTTTCGAAATTGCATAACCATTTTTTAAACTTTTAGGGCTTGTACCATTTACTTTTAACATAACTCTTTTCTAGTCTTGTTAATTAGAATATGCCATAGCCAGGAAGACAAGATAAGAAACAAGCTTTCAGTTATAATCACATTAACATAGATGAGGTAAGAAAGTGAAAACATGATAATCGGTATTACTGTGATCTTTTTGAAGGGGGAAATAAAGGTTAAAAAATAAAATGCATCATCCCATACTTCATTCAAACACTGATAAAATGCACATGAAGTTATATGAAACCAAGGAAAATGCTACTATATAAAAATGATACGCGTTAGAATAAGATTTCAGAAAAGGCTAGCATTTTCAATTATCTAAGTTACCATAATAGCAAAAACAGAAACAATTGCAGCGCCAGTTCTGAAAGAGTACTCCCCAGAAGCGAGTGGGAGAGTTGGCTTGTTAACCTAAGGAAAAATGAGGTATCAGATTTCACTAATCAGTGTGTCAGAATTTATATCAAACACAAAGAAGATCATTATCAAGCACCATTCTAGATCACCCAACTGCCAATTGTTAACTATATGGTGACACATGAAAAATTAGGATTTCCTGTTAAAAAAATTGTATACCTTATCGGATTGCATCTAATTAGTGTTTTAAACAAGCATGCACAAACCCACACAGGTGAAACGAGGAAAAGAAAAAGATAAAGGAGCGTTCAGGGGGATACCTTATCTATTTCTATGTCAAATAACTGATTTAGTCCAACAATATAAATGTTCATGAATAGCGCAGAAATCAATGCCTGTAGATTATTTAATTTCAATAAGTCAAACAATGTATTAATCACAAAAAATATTAATATTTCTACCTGTAAAAGCCCAGTAAAAAAAGGTTGAGAAAAGTCGGCAAATTTCTCAATGGACAGGACAGAAACTGAGACGATGCTCAATGCCTGCATTAACATGAACATTTTTATTTTAGTGAAAAAATAAAATAATCAAGACCACTCACATTGCAGAATAAGTTTTCCGTGCTGATGCATGCCTAAAGCCAATAAGATACTAAAGTATCGCGGGTTGACTTAACTGTGCCTATGACAGTGTGGGGACGTGAAAATCGGTAGAAAACATTCAAGGATGACAGTAGTATATTCCATAATTTCATAAAAGTATATGCTTCAGGTTCTGGTTCTAAAGAGTGCTCTGACGTGGCATTTAGATGTCTCCAACCATTAGAACGGGTAAATCTTTCAATTCTCAACCCCATATGTTTATTTGTATGGCAACCTGCAACCGTTTCCTTCCAGGATTTATCTATAGTATTACATTTTTTATGATATTGAAGCTGTGAACAGAAACCTGTCAATTAAACAAAGATAAGTATCATTTGCATACATAAAAATATATACCTGTTGTATGAAATCATTACACAAATAAAGATGTAATTCCACAGTTAATTGACAAAAAAGATCAACCACAAAGCTAAGATAGCAAATAAGTCAAACATGAGTGAGTTTAGCTCTTGTTTAGTTCAGTTCATCAACAATCGAACCAAACACAAACAAAACTAAAGTTCAATAAGGTCAAAAAATCATGTTCAAGCACAACGCTTTACTATCAATCCAATTACAAGCTTAACACAAACAATAAAACAAGAAAATGAACATCAAATGCATAAAAAATATCATGATAATCACATATTTTAAGCTTCATAGAACTTAAGGCGCATATATATATATATATATATATATATATATATATATCGTTTCTTGAGTAAATATGCATAAAAGTTCCTTTCAGACCAAATGCCCTCAGTCTAGATCAAGGACTACTTTTTTAAAGTTCGTTGCAACCAAATTTAATTCGAATAACATTCAAATAAGATTCGATCAAAGTTGAGATCATATGCAATAAAAATTCATTCCATGATTGAACCATAATCGAATATTAAATATTTTTTATAGAAAAAAATTTGGCATGAATGAAGTAACCATTTTTTGAAGTAATAGTTATATTAAATTTTATAGTAACTATTTATGTTAATTACTTGTTAGCTTATGTTGAACTTATTAGCCTGGCTTCTTTCTTCAGTATTAAGATCTTCCTCTTATAATTTGTATGGTATAAGTTTATTGTCTTCTTCCACAAGTTATTCATCATCTGACGACACATCATTGCAAACTAATGAATTTTTATCTTCCTCGAAAGTGGCCTTAATCAAATGTTCAAATTTTAATATCTTGTTCTACATAATGTAAACTAAAAAGTTCATCCTTATGGCTTTCAAATAATTTCTCCTTTTGGCATTAAATTGGTTATATGTAATCCAATTTTGTTCATAACTTGATGACAAGCATATAAGATCTAGTAGTTTTCTAACAACTCATTGTAATTCTAGAGCGTCGTCACCAAATTAAATCCACCATTCAACTGCTTTTAAAAACACAATTAACACAGTATATAAATTTGGTGGAACTTGGACAATATATATTAAAATTGCATGGAGAAAGTTTTATTATTGTATCTTCGGCTTGTTGTAATTCAAATAAACCATCTTTAATTTTGAATGCAACAAGTTGAGATTTGCCTCCACATCAATGATCAATAAGTCCATAGAGTGTTACAAACTAAATTTGATCTATGGATTAATTAAATTGTTTTCCACATATTGATATTAAGAAATAATATAATATCATGTGACATGCAAATGATGATGAAGTTAAAACACCTACTTCTCATCAATTAATTCCTAAATTTTCTTGTACTTGGACTCCTCTCCTCCTATGTTTTGTGTTATCGGCTCCTTTCCCTCATCCATGGCAATATAAATGAAACTCATAGCATACTTTTTCTCCACGTCAATCATTCTTAAAATATGAACCAAGGTTTACTTGTTATTATAGCAAAAGTCACACGTAATCAAAACCTGCCACTCAAAATAATTTTCATGACTTGTTTGCCTGTGCTTTCTTAGTCCAAACACAATTTAGCCATTGTGTGGTGTGGAGGTGAAAACAACCTCAGAAGATTGGCTTGCTTCCAAAAAGCTTTGTAAATTCAAATATATCATAACAAACCTAGTAGTTATAGGTATTAAGAGTTCTTTTTTAGAGAACTTTATCAAAGCCAATGTTACCCAACTATGATTGTAGATGAACTATCTTTGCCTATAGGTTTATTAGCCTAAACACAATTTAACCATTGTGTGGAGGTGAACATAACCTCCAAAGGTTAGCTTACTTCCAAGATGTTTTGTAAACTCAAGCATGTTGTAGCAATCTGATAGCTATAGGTCGTAAGAGTTATTACAAAGAAATTTTCCTCATCAAAATTAACAGTTAACAATAACTATAGATGCACTTGCTAATCTTCTTTGCTTTGGTCATGGTGTTCTTGTGCCAAAGAAACTTTCCAAGTTTTTCAAATTAAATCTATGCAATTTATCACACATGAGTCCAATCCATATGTTTTCTCTTCTCCATCATCGTATTTCCTGCCACCTGTAAGTACTAGTATTGTCAGTAATAACTTGAACCACTAAATACTCTCTAATCTCATCTATGACTATATCATAAGTCCAAAATATACTCTAAATCATTCACCTAATCTAATGCTTCGACAATCATCAAAAATCATATCAAATGAATAATTACTTAGAATATTGATCAAGGTCCTATTTTAATATCAGACTAACTATCATAAATGATTATAACTCCAAGTAGTGTCCAAGTTTTATTCATCTCCCTAATTACTTTGATATTATTCAGTTCCTCCTTCAATATTCAAGTCATAAGCTCAAACATGGACAAATGTTTAAGGCATCAACCATAGTAACCTATATAATGAATCATGCTAACATAAGATGAGGCAGTTGCCAAATTAAGTGAAATTGTATTTTTGTAAAAGAATCTTCAAGTTTCCAGATGAGTCTCGCTTGCATTTTGAGGAGACATTAAATGGGCTACCCTCGCACCATCATCCTTGTCATCCTCAACCTTCATTATAAATTGGTTCATAGGTTCTCTTGCACCTTTATTTGACATTTGTGGCGAGGAGGATGAGAAATATTTGCTACTAGGCCCACTACCATAATAAGAACTGCTATCCACTTTGTCATCAAATCGTCGTATCAAATGCTTCAACATGGTCTCCTTGTTCATTTAAGCATGAATCTCCTCTTTCATCTCCTTGAGCATTTTGATATACAATGCAATATTCTTATGAGAACTAGAAAGATGTTTTTTTACCTTTGACAACTTTATCACAGGAGTTAATTTCAAATAGATAAATGTCTTCTCACTCCCTCTAATTTGCACTTGCACACTATGTTTTCATGCCAGGTCTTTTCCATTTCACATTGAGCATTTGCTCATTAACTCTAATAATTTTAGAAAACCACAAAATAAAAATTATAAATTACAAAAGATATTACAAAATGCAAATGTTCCAAAAAAAAAGGAACCCTAAAGAAAGAAAGAAAGAAAAAAACTTTAAGTTTAAGAAAAAAAAAGATCTTTTATTACTAGCAAGAATAGCAAATATTGGGTATAGTTAATAAGTAACCAAGGGCTTTAGAAGGAGAAACTCAAGTTAAAAGGAGCTTTGACGTAATTAAATAATTAAAATGGGTTTAAATTATATATTTAATATTATTTTTTTTCTTTTTTAAATCAATGTAACCCTAATACTTGAGGCATATGCTTCTACCTTATTGCATAGAATATTCCTTAAGAACTGGATGCCGAGGTTACCAGCATCATGAAGGCAAAGGTTACAACCATTATGGAGGCCAATGACTTATCAACTTGATCAATTAATTTTTTTTAGATACTCTTATCACTTATAAGCAAAAATCTAAGACAAAAGAATGGCGATGGCTCAACAAAGAAGAAGATGAAAGCCATTGTGCTCAAAGCCATGCGCTCAAAGCAAGAAATTCTAAAGAAAGCTAAATGACAAAAAGGGTGATGATGAAGTTGCCCTGATAACAAGGAAATTCAATTTGTTCCTAAAGTTAACAAAGCAATCAAGAAGATGTCAAAAGAAAAAGGTAAGAATAATTCAAATAATGATAAATATAAGGATAATATGTTTTTACTCAATGTTTAAAACCAAGACCCACTCAATGGTAGTGTCCAAACATCAATGAAGGCTAGAAGGAAAGAAGAATTAAAAAGCTTTTTTTAGGTAAATTTAGATTTGGAATTATCCTCAAGCGAATCAAAAAATGAAGAAATAAATTTATGCATGATGGTAATATAAGAATTTGAAGAAGAAAGCATCGGATAGATAATTGAGAAGAATTAGAAAGCAATGTAAGAAACTGAACGATAGTTTTATGAATTTTAAAGGAAATATGCTAGCTTATAGAAAGAATACTGTACCTTAGAAAAGTGTTTCACAAATGCTAAAGTAGAGTTGGATTCCATTAATGAAAAGAATCGACATAAGGTTGAAACATGAAAGAGAACAATCCTTTTAAAAGCAAAACTGAATTTAAAATTTCACATGCTAAATCTTCACAGTGAACACACAGAAAGCATGGTAGAAAACACTTTACACTACCTAGAAAACATGCTAAATCTGTTGTTGTTGTTTGTTGTTGTTGTACCTAGAAAACACTTTGAACATGCTAAATCTGTTGAATTTTAGAAAGAATTTGAACGTATCTCATATATGATCCATGATCATAAGAACAAACACCCAAGATAAAAATTTTATTAAATAACTGAAATGTAACATCAATATTGACAACAAGCTAGAAATTAACAATGGCTAGGACAAATTTTATGGCATGAATTATCTTATTAGCATTTATAAATACCCATAAGAACCATTATAAATCATAACAAGCAGTCTTAAGCTCATTTGCATGCTTCCTACACTCAAAATCATTCCTCTCTCTCAAAGCTATAGGTTTCCACTTGTAAATTTCCTTTGAAAACTTCATGAGCTAAGTAAATTTGAAACTAGAATCACAAAGTCTTCCATTAATTCATCATGAACCAACGACATGTGCTAGGAGAGGGTTTTTTCTCGACTAGAAGAGGAAGCTTTCGTTTCTCCACTCATTGTAGAGTACTCTTGTAAAGAGGTTTCTTGTCTGTGTTTTGCAAAAGAGTGGATTAATGAAACATTTGAGGAGAAGATTCCAAAGAGTGGACATCGGTCGGTTAGTGATAAACCACTATGAATCAATCATTGTCAATCTTTTGATTTTTGCAATTTAATTTCTTGTCATTATTCTCTCTTGTCTATAGCTACAAATATTATTTATTCAGATTCCTTATAACACACACACCCACTGCAAGGGATTTACAAGACAGTGCTCCCCAATTTTAACCCAAATCCTGCCAACTAATAAATGAGCTTATAAATCTTGTTCAGGGCCCACTCATTTACTTAATGAAGAAGCTGAACTCCAGAAAATCATTAGAGCCAAACAAAAGAAATTTTTTAACATCAAGCTGAATTGACAGCTATAGGAAAAGCATTCAAGAAACCGTTCAGGCACCACAGCATTCCATCACTATGGCAAAAAAAATCAACATAATCTTAATGACATTAAAGTTTTTAATACAAGTGATCAAGGATATTTTTCAAAGAAATAAAGCAAGACACGGTGGAAGATCAATTATGGAACTTAAGCATCAAAAACAAACTAACAGAGTAATTAAGTCTAAGCATGCTTTAATCTGACTAAATAGCTTTCTGAATGGTGTAGTCGAATTCCCACACAATAGAGGAAAGGTGGAAACTGCATGTCGTGTATTTATCAAAAGAAAATTTGTAAAGATAAGAGGAAGGTGAATTATAAGCCATAACTTCAATAACTACTTTGTTTCATTGAAACCATCTTTTAAAAAGCAACAGCAAGGAAATGGAATTTCTTAGTCGGAACTAAGAATGCTTGCTATTATCTGATACTGCTAATGCAACAATAAAGCTGAAACAACAAAAACCCTAGCAAAGAATCGCGGATTAAGTTAAGTTCAATTTTTTCTATAACAATATCACGCCCAGGTTTCAACTTTTCCAATCGATCACTGCACGGAATAACACATTACTGGCAATTTTCTACATCCTCCCTATAATGGAAAAGAAGGACGAAATAGCTGCATTCCTGAGCTCACAGAGCTCCGTAGACGCACCTCTCGACGAGGCAGTGGGGGATAATAGGCGGAGTTGCGGGGACAGAGGACGAAGGAGGAGAGAGTCTACCGCCATCTTTGCAATTTAGATCTTACCAGCCGTAATCTAAACTTCTCCTGCGCGAGTGAGAGCGAGTTTCATAAGGAAGAAATGGAGTTCCTTACACGTCTAAAAACGATTGAACGGTCAAAAAATGGTTTGCATCATCACTTCAGCAATTTATGATCTCAGTTTTGAGACATTTCTCTTTCGATTCGACAGCTGCATCCGATAAAAACAAGGCTAAAGCGGTGCTCCAGTACATAAATCTTCTCCACAAGAACGTGGGTAGTTGCTGCAATCTCAGTGTCCACACCGAGGATGGAATGGGTTACACGGGATATTGGCCCATCCATTAAACTGACCGTTTTTTTTTTTAACTTTCGTCAAAACAATTAATAATCACATGCTGTTTAGTTTTGTTTGACTAAAAAAATAATAATCATCCACAATGGAATGTCAAATAAAATAAAAGAAATATATTATATTTAAAATTATTTGAATTAATATAAAATCAAAATAGATAATTTTTTAGGTAAACATCATCGTAGCTATATCCCAAGTCCTAAATGAGAAAAATAAAGAGTTCTATTAAGAAGTCGACGACTAGCATAAAATTTATCGAATAATTATAAAATAATTTTTTTAATACATTGTGTTAATGGTAGGATGTTTCCTAAAAGTAACTCAATTTAATTAATAGATATTATGATTTATAAAAAAGATAACTATTATATGCATTCAGGAAATTATATGGGTTGGAGAGAAAGCTGATGTTGTTGATAGTTTAAGATTTAAACTATGTTATTCAGTTATGAGTTGTACTATAAATAGTACATGTGTGATTATAAATAAGAGTTTAAAGGATAATATTATAGAAATGAATAGAATTAGATATTTAACTATAGTCTTAATTATTATTGTTAATACTAAGATTATTAATATTATATATGTTTATGCTTTTCAAATTGATTTGGATATATGTTCAAAATTAAAATTTTAGAATAATTTTTAAAAATTAAAATTTAAAACATACATCTTAAAAAAAAATTATTGGAAAATATTTAAATGGACATGTTATTAAAGGAGTAGAAGATTTTAAAAAAATTCATCATAGCTATGAGTTTGGAGTGACTAATAAAGATAATAAGACCGTATTAAATTTTGCTCTAACTTATAAATTTGTAATTACTAATATCTTATTTAAAAAAATATATGAGCATCTCATCATTTATAAGAATAAATATAATAAAACTCAAATTGATTATTTTCTTATAAAAAATATATCGTTTAGATTGTAAAGTCATTTTGAATGAAAGTTTATATATCCAGCATCACTCATTAGTTTTAAACTTTAAGATAAATTAAAATAATATTAAAAAAAGTGAAATATTATTTAAATATTAGATGAATTCATTTAAAGAATACTAACAAAAAATTTTTTGAGAGTAAGATTCAATAGCTTAAAATTTTAAGCGTGTATGAAAAAGCTAATATTATATGAAAAAAAAAAATTGTTAGTGATATTAAGAATGTTTCAAATGATATGCTTGGAATTAGGGGTGTCAATATTTGACACGACACGAAAACCCATCATGTACAGGAGAAGAAGAGGCCGCACCCGCAAAAATAACCTCTTTAATTTCAATATCAGTAACAGGAGCTAACATGCCTTCCACAAGATTAACAGGAATAGTGGAACCAGAAGGAATGGAACTCCAATTGAGATTATTGGAATTGGGAGGATTAAACAGCCCTTGAAAGTGATTAACCAAGGCATTGGCTACTGAACTTGGGGTGTTAAAATGACCTTCAGGAGTAGAAATCTTCCTGATCTGATTGATATTACCTTTATTCTTGATCCTGGCATAAAGAAATCCCAAGTCATCTTCACCGTTTGAAAGCCATTTAGCTTTAGCCCTTTGCACAATCCAAGAAGCCCAAGCACTCTGATAAAAAGTCAAAGAAGAGTTAATAGTATTAAGAGAACTATTGAGAATTTGATCAAATGGATTCATATGAATCATCTCCAGACAATTTTTTTAATTAAGCCTCATAACCACAATTCTCTCTTTAAGGAAAGAAGAATTGGTCCACTTTTTTTGTTTCAGGAAGAATTTAAGACTTTTCAACTTGTAGTAAAGATTTGCAATAGGGCTAGCTTCGGAGTGCTTGGCAAAAGCAGAAATAACCCCATCCCAAAAACCATCCATATTGACCATAGTTTTTGAATAAAAACCTCCCACCATCAGGCATAGGAGTACCCGAGCAAAGGACCAAGGGGGTGTGATCAGAACAACCAGGGGTTCCACTTCATAAAAGGAGGAGGGGTAAGTTTCCAACCAAGAGTAATTGATAAGCATTCTATCCAATTTAATATGAGTCGGGTCATTAGCTCTTTGATTGAACCAAGTGAAATTCAGCCCAGTCGAAGCCAGCTCAAGAGATCTAGTATCAAAAATCCAAATGTTCATTTATTTAAATTGGGAATGGTGGGGTTGAATCCCACCTAATTTCTCCTTGGAATTTTTAAAACAGTTAAAATCTCCCATAATGATCCATGGGGTAGAGATATTATTAGCTAAGGTAGCTAACTGGTTTCACAGAGCGTTTCTTTCAGAATGGGAATTAGCAGCATAGATCACAATAAGGAAGAATTGGGAATTGGCATTGAAATACAAGGTGCCATGAATAAGTTGGGAAGAGGTTATAATAGGCTTAAAAGTAACATTATTTTCATTCCATTTCAACCATATTCTCTCGGGAATATAGGAGCAGAGATTGTTACAGCTCATTTCATTCAAAAAAATATAGTGGGAGAGGGAAAACCAAGGGTCGGATTGAGCATGAGGAGAGATTTTAGCCTCAAGAATACAAAGCAACTCAAGACGGTGTACAGTAATCAAATTTTTATAGGCAAACATTTGTTAGGACTGTTAAAGCCCTGAATATTCCAGCATCCCAAAGGGGAAAGGTCAATTGGATTTGGAAGAGGTTTGTGCTTGTTTGGAGCTTTTAGACCTTGGGGGCTTTGAGTTGTGAGTATTGGCCTATTTTTTGTATCCCAGAGGGTCTTCCTGATTCTGTGAAGGGATGCTTAAAGAAGTATCACAAATTTCCAATAAATCTGGAGGTTCTTCAGGTTGGAGGATGGCAAATTTATTGGGAGAAGTTGTTGTGGTGAGGGGTTGGTGGATCCAGGGAGGTGGTGCTTAGTTGGTATGGGATTTTGGAGAAGATTGAAAATTATCTGGATGGGAATGAGTGGCTTTAGTTATAAGGGGTGGTTCATTAGGAGGGTGGTTAGCTGTGGGAGAGTTTAGATTAGGAATGGGGCCCGCTTGGTTAATAACATCAAGAGGAGGGGGAATAGGAGCAGAAGCGAGACTTTTGAGGTCCAGAACATGGACGGGATCACAAAGGTTTCCATCAGAAATAGGCTCATTACAGGGGAGAAGGTTATTAGGAGATGGA